CACTCGCTCTGAATAAGTAGCCTTCCTAAGAAATTAATTTTATCTTGTCACTACAAAAATTAAAATGAAAAGTTGTTGAGTCAAATAAAGAATACGATGGCTTTTTCATCACAGAATTCGTTTGAGCTGCAATGTTATGAGATAAACTTAGCATTTCAGTTATTTTTGTAATTAGTTGTGGTTTCTCAACTTTGCTACTCGCAATATTAATGCCTATCGCAGAATTACTGTGATCATATGTCCCTGTGTTTTTCTATAGATACGCGGTGATGTTAAACTGCTGGAAATACGAAAGCGCCAGCCGGCCACACTTTGTGAAGCTCTACCAAACAATGGATACATATATTAAAACAAAGGTTTGCCATACAGCGTCTAATTCAGTATATACTTCAGAAATTGAAATTTGTATCCTACCAAGTCAATTGCGAATTTCTTTTCACGTCAATGTGATGTCAAAACGCATTAACTACCCAGCCGCTAACAATTTGTGAATTCAGTTTCATCATGAGCCAATGTTACTTTTAAACATATGCAAGTGTGGTTACGTTATGTCAGTCTGGATCATCCTTATTTTCCCTCTGTTGTCTACACACAAGAAAGAACGGAACAGATCTTAAAATAACACTTTTGGAAAACTTTGACAGAAAGGAAGACCATACCTGACTTTCAATTCATGCAAGTACTAATGGTTCTTGTCTTTGTGATTGATATCTGATCTGCTCTTTTTTTTCTTTTTAGTGACTCATTTTTGGAATTTCTTTGTTGAATTTTTTAAATTCATTCGTTCAAGTTTTATTAACTCCTGCAGTTCTTGATTACCTTCTAATCTTTTTCATAGACATATGTAGATATCTTTGACGATGACAAGTATGATCAGGATAAGTACAACTTTGTCGATGACCGTGGAGCTGTTGCAAACCCAGAAGATGCAGGACCGGACGAGCTAGGAGCAGCTGCAGCAAATCCCATCGGTGAAGTGGGTGAACACGGTGCTACGGCACATCCCTTTCTGGTTGCAGTGGACGATGATGCTACAGCTTTCCCTCTTGGAATTAACGTAGGAGACGAAGGAGCACCTGCAACAGATCCCGACCGTGAAGTGGGTGAACACGGTGCTACGGCACATCCCTTTGTGATTGCAATAAACGATGGTGCTCAAGCTTTCCCTTTCGCTATTAACGTACCAGAGAAAGGGGCAGCTGCAGCAAATCTCTCCAATAAAGTGGGTAAGCACGGTGCCGCTGCACATCCCTTTGTGGTTGCAATTGACGATGGTGCTACAGCTTTCCCTTTCGCTATTAACGTACCAGAGGAAGGGGCAGCTGCAGCAAATCTCGCCCATGAAGTGGGTAAGCACGGTGCTACTGCACATCCCTTTGTGGTTGCAATTGACGATGGTGCTACAGCTTTCCCCTTCGCTATTAACTTACAAGACAAAGGGGCAGCTGCAGGAAATCTCGCCCGTGAAGTGGGTAAGCACGGTGCTACGGCACATCCCTCTATGGTTGGAATTGACGATGGTTCTACAGCTTTCCCTCTCGGAATCAAAGTAGAAGAAGAAGAAGGTTGCGCAGCATACCCTTTTGAGAGTGATAAGAAAGATATGGATGCCCAAGCGTACCTTTTGGAGAGTGATACTTTACCATACCTTAGCGAGAACGAGGAAGAAGATGTTGATGACTCCGAGTGCCCTCTTGCGATTGAGGAAGAACAAATTGATCCTTTACCATCCTCCCTGGTGATGGACGAAGACGGTCTAGCTGTTTCAGCATGTCCCCTTGTGACTGACGAAGAAAATTCTGATTCTTTAGCATGCCCCCTTGTGGTTGAGGAAGAAGATCCCAATAACTCAGCATGCTCCCCTGTACCTGTGGAAGAAGATTTGGAAGCCACAGAATGCCTTTCTGTTACTGAAAAAGAAGATCCAACATCTTTCGCACGCTCCGCAAATGAGGTGAACAAACTCGATGCCTCACCATTCCCTTGTTTGATCGAAGAAGAAGATCTTGATTCTTTAGAATACAATCCTCTGATCGAAATAGAAGGCCTCAGTGATTCCGTCTTCCCTCCAGAAATTCAAACTGACAACGAAGAAGGTGTAACAAGTGAACCTGAAAATACCGTTGGTTATGAAGGTGCTGTAGCAGTTCAATCTGAAAAGGAGGCAGTAGAAGAAGAACCTAAGACTTGCCAACTACAGTACACGAAGGATGAACAAGACGATCTTGGAAACTATATGGACGACCAAAGTGATGCTGTAGACCTTTTTGACGGAGACGCTGGCTTACAAGAGTATGATGGTAATCAACTTACTGCTGCGGATATAGACGAAACTGGAAGTGACGAAGACGAGGAGTCATCTGAAGCAACTCCTCTTGTGCAGGACTGAGGCTTAATAGCAGAATTGCTGAACCTCTAAGGTTGTAGTCTTTTAACACTCTGTGGTAATTTGTATTGTATATTTCGAGAATTTCAGTCTCAATATTTCATAGTTTTTGATTTTAAGACGTAGGTTTTTTCGTACTTTTACTTTAGTAATGCTTTGGTAGTAATGATAACCATTTTCATAGTTTATAAATGGAGGTTAAGTGGAATTTCCTTCAAAGAAAAACTTGTTTATTTACTTCACTTTTGCATTTCTTAGTTTACCGTTTATTCACTTGGTGCACTTGTCAGTGCTTTGTTGATGTTATTGACTGTAGGCTAATAGAGACAAAAAAAAAAAAAAGGAAATTGCTGTTAAGATAATTTTTATAACTGATCAAGTCAGAAATGCTGCGTAAGTTTGTGAGTGTTGTAATGTTTCCTAATCTTATTACGAATAATTTACTTGTTGTAAAGCACTCCCTAAATGCTTCAATAAACTTATATAAGATAAACTCGTTTCGTTTATTCCATTCATTGCAGCAAAATTGCTGGTCTGGATCTAACTGTAGATTTGAAGGATACCATCAACTAAAATGACATCTGGTCTCCTTCAAAGAGTAAGATTGATGAAAATCCAGTAGCGCTGCGTTAGTTCTGATAAGTGTATATATTTTTCTATTCCCAGCTTACGCTCGCTTAGCAACCAGAAGTAGCATATTTTCAAAACATTTTTAACCCAATACATTTTATCCTTTTTGTAGACAGCTACTGACTCACCGGCCTTTTCAATCGAGTTCTCTATTCCAATTTGTTGATTAGACAGGCGGTATTAAGCTGATTAGTCTTGAATGTTGTTATTTCACATCACTGTTTCTAATCATTGTCTGAGAAAAGTGTTTTAGAAGTTTGAAACATAGATGACCCCATTGTGATGATTCTTAGTGCGGAAGTTGGCCTAAGCCAGATATTCCAAGCGCCAAGGAAGCATTATTTTTTACTTTTTATCTCCACAGTTTCAGGCATTTTGGCGTCTCGGGATATTGTGTTTGAATATTTTTGCCATAGTGCCTTCCTGGTGCACTATGTCAGCAAATATGTCGAGTTTAATCAAGCAATAGATGGCGTTTTCGAGAAACACAAACGAGCTAATGTAATAATGGATTCTCATTCAGTCATTTTCCAATTTTGTTTTTTTCACGAGCACTTACATATAACGCTGACATTGCCTAACTCATTGCTTCAACTTTCATCGTGAGAAGTACTGTGCTATGATTTTTAGAGAAATAGGCAACGGCAGTTATTTTCTTACTGTCCGTTGTTGTGTTTTTTGACATGAGCAGGGCCTTTGACAAAATAAACGAGGGAATTTCGGCGTGGCTTGGTTCATCATTAATCCATCTGATAGAAAACAAGTAGCGCTCATTAATTCTGAGTCCCTGACTCTCTAGTCTTTGAATCCAGAGTGCCACAAGCGGTTGTTCCATGACTTGTTTTGTTCAGAATTTATGTAAATGACTTTTCATATGCCCCTCAGTCTTGTTTTACTGAATATTATTGGATGATACTAAACTTCACATTTCTCTCCCAGTTCAAGGCTGGGCTAAGACAACAATTTTTTTTCTGAGACAGGGAGTGTCCTTTAAATGAAAGTAAAATAAAACAACGATCGTCGATCAAAAGATCGGTGGGGACTCTGATGTCGATCTTAAAAATTTTGGTTTTTGCCTTTTTTTTAGTATTTATCTATTTGACTGTTCCATATGCTTATAGGGAAGTATTTATTGTTTAGATAGGGTTTTGAAATTTCTGCGCACGAAATTAAGTTTAAATTCTTTTTTTATTTGAATCTCCCGAAAATCTGACATATTTCGACCCATATAAAGATATAAGGAACCCAAAAGTAGTCACTAAAACGTTACTCCTCACATCCTTCTCTATTCACCTCCAGGGAATTTGCGCCCAAAAATGTTGTGATTATTACAGGAATAAATTATTCAAAATCATATTTTTGTATTATTTTATCTCACCCGCTCAATGGTAACTGCCTTCAATCCTCAGTCGTTTATCAAGCCACCGTCACACGGAACGACAACAACACCTCTGAAACATACATTGGACTCACAGAAACCGACTTCAAAACAAGACACAGAAATCACACCGCATCATTCCGCCACGCCAAGCACAAAAACTCTACCGAACTTAGCAAACACATCTGGATACTCAAGAACGACAACATTGACTATTCTATTTCATGGCGCGTCTTATCATCTAACTCTCCCTACAACAGCTCCAGTAAAAGATGCAACCTCTGCCTAAAAAAAAAAATTCCTGATAATTTACCGACCCGACCTCTTATCACTAAATAAGCGTAACGAACTCGTATCTTCATGCCGACACAGAAACAAAGCGTTGCTACGCAACAGCTGAACTTTAAAGTTTTTAAGTTTACCGCGTATTATGTAAATTTTCCTAGTATATTAACGATAGTCACATGAATATTCTTTCATTAAACCCCTGAAGAGTGAAGCGATTCACGAAACAGGCTTGTCGGGAAATGTAGTTGCGTCCTTTTTTCCTCTCATAATATATATATATATATATACACACCGGTGTTCCCGAAACCCTTGACAGCT